CCTTTAACGCAAGGTTTCTCAGCCTCGGCCTCATTGACGTTTTAGACTGGAGAATCCTTTGTCATAGGTTGCTGTCCTGTCCACTGTAAGATGTGTAACAGCACCCCTGGTTTCTACCCACTCAACGTTAGCAGTAGGGCCCCTCCTTCCCTACCAGACAACCAGAAAAATCTCCGGGGTGATATCAAATGTCTCCTGGAGTGACAAAATTGCTCCCCCTGCCGTTGGGAACCACTGCTCTAACTTCATAAGTAGATTAATTGAGCAATCAAATATTTATTAAAAACCTACTCTTTGCCTAGGACTTGATAATTTCTATGAACACTAAAGAGGAAGATATGGCCCTTGACCTCAAGAAGATTATACTATGAGAGATATGACCAGATCCATAAAACAACTGGGAAAAAAGTCTGTTACTAAGTGACCCAGTGTGAGACCCAGACTGTGTGCCCTGTAAGAATTCGGAGAAATGAGATCAGTGAGGACAGAGAAGATTTTAATAGCTCAAACTTGATTGGGTTTGAACATGTAAAGGCACGAGGCATAACCTTCTAAACTAAAAATATATAGGCGTTATACATTTAGGCAAATATGTAAAAAATACATTTTCTTATACATAGGTAAACCAAAAAAATATAGGCGTTACCTTCTAAACCAAAAATTGGAGTACGCGATTTAATATATAGGTTTGAAATCATGTCTGTCTTGGAGAATTCGAGATATATGGTTTCAGAAGATGTGGAGATTGTGGGTGGGAAGGGTAGTGTGAACAAAGATGCGGAAGACTAGAAGGAATGTACCGGTTTCATACGGAGCAGCCTGAGAAGTCAAGTGGCAGGGCCGAGATAGAAGCAGATCACGGACACTCAGAGGCACAGAGTTCGGTCTGTGAGGTTTCTTGCGTGGAGGAGCATGGAGGAGCAGCAGGATGAAAGGAAGAGAGTAGTCTGGCAGTGAGTTGGTTTATGGCCAACGTGCTAGAGGGTAGTTTGAGCTGTTGAGAGCTGGACAAGGTGGTGGCCAAATGGGCGGAGGAATAATTAACATAATAGGAGAGGCATGTGGGGGGACCAACAGGAAGAAAAAGATTGGATCGATTCCTAAGAAGTTCCTGGACAGTTAAGGTGAGGCTATGTCTTAATATAGGGCTGAGTTTTCCGCTTTGGAAACAGGGAGAACATTGATATTCTTCTCTTCTTTTAAATATGTCTCTTTTCCCTCGATTAATCTCACCTCATTCTGATTATTTTTTAGTTAGGAGTGATAAGGATAGGTTTCAGGGAGAGATGACATTTAATCAGGGCCAGGAACACTGGGTAGGTTTTGAGCAGGCAGAAATAAAATGGAGGGGTGTGTGTGGGAAGGGGGCGGTAGTGGAGGCAATGATTAGAGGCAATGACAGGAGCCATTGGTATGTTTGGCAAAAATGCACAGCCTTCGATGGCGAGAGTGAGATGTCTGAACTTGGTTAAGGCAGGAGACATATTAAAATCAAGAGGAGAGCGGCATCAAGCTTATGTCTCTTTAAGAGCCGCTGTTTAAAATGTCCTTTGCAGAGCCCTGTAGAGCCACTGAATTGGTTATGACCACAGCGCTGCCCCTGGAGGAAGGGGGCTCAGGACTCTGACAACCAGTCTTTTCTCGTTCGAGTGGGTTTTCTCCCTGCCCGTCCCCCTTCTCCTTCCCCTCTCTCTCTTTCTCTTGCTAGGATAGTTAGGAAGAAGGAGGCATCAGCCACAGCAGCCTCCGATGCACAGGAGGCTCCCAGTGCAAAGGGCAAATGGAGATTCTGGCCTAGATTTGATCAGTATCTCCCATTCACATGTTCTACCTCAGAGGTTGATTTATCTTCTGATTTTAAAAAGAGAAGTCTGGTGGGACTTACGAAAGTTTCTCTCTTCCCACCTCTAACATGAAACAAAAACAAATCCTCGACAGACTTATAAGCATGTAGTATGAATATCAAAGTCCTTGGCAGTGAAGCATCTGTTGCCTGACCTTCAGGAGGCTTCTCTCTCCACAGTGCCCCGGGAAGACCCCTCCACCAGCATGCTCACCATGCCTGCTGCCTGCCCACCCCAGGGAACCATGTCCCTCAGGAATCAGGTACTGAGATATAGTATAAAACATTTTTTTTTATTTCAAAATGCAAAATGGTGGTCATTTGTCATAATAATAATAATAATAAAATAATAATAATAATAATATAAAAAGCGTTTCTCCTTCTTCCCTAGTGCAAAATGGTAGATGCACTCAGCTCAAAGACGCATAGTTTTGGATATGTCTTTCTCCTGCAGTGCTGCACAGCAGCAAAACTCAATCCCAAACTCCTGTTGGTGGATCTGTGTGCGTTCAGTTCTAGAAGTCTCCGAAGTTAAGTCCAAACAGCACAGGAGTCCTGCTCTCCCCAACTGGGTCAGTCTCTGACTCTCTCTCTTTTTTCTCTATTTCCCTCCCTCTCTTTCTCGTCTCTGTCTCTCTCCCTCCCTCTGCTGGCCTCCCGCAGTTCTTAGGAGGCATGCAGCCGTTTGGAGAGGGCCCTGCTGCAGACTATGGCCTCCTGCTGCTTGCCTTTCTCTAGCAGGGCCTGTGTCCGGAGGGTCTGGCGCTCCCGCGAGGCCCGCAGCGCGGCCACCGCTGCCTCCTCTTCCCGCAGGCGGCTGGCGGCCGTGAAAGGGCTGCACACGGTCTCCACCAGGCCGAGCACCACGCCGAATAGGGCCAGCACGCTCCCCAGCACGTACAGCTTCACCAGTTTCCGTTTGGACGTCTGGGCCATCATCTCCTTGGCCAGAAGAATCAGCTCCTGCACCGTTTCCATCAAGGATCTGGGCTCTCGGGAGCGGGAGGGACCTGCAGGAGGAGCGGAGCAGAAAAGGGAACCGTTAGTCACTGAAGGATGGCTTCGGCTGCCCCAGCACTCCTCCCTCAGCGTCTAGGTAGAGACCCACAGAAAGGGGGCTCCCGGGACCCAGGCCCCGCCGCGCCAGCCCCCGCCCGGCTCACCTGAGCCGCGCAGCGGGCTTCTAGGAGGCAGCGGGGGCTGGGAGATGGTGAGCGCGTCCGTGGGTCCCCGCAGCTCCGCGTTCTCCTCCTCCCCGGCAGCCGCGGTTCTTCCAGATGGAGCCTCGGCAGCTGGCACCTCGCTAGCGGCCAGCGGCCGCTTAAATCTTTTCTCCGAGACCCGCCCCCTGGGC